TCGAGCTCTAAGAGATTGGAGCACCTTCAATCATGAAAATGTAGTTTGTAGTGCTTTTTTTTCGTCTTGATCTTCGCTGAAATCTGAATCAGTGTATCCTTGAACTTCAACATTCGTGTTGTTCTTCGACTTCTTTGGCAACAACACACCCTGATTAATTGTTCCCTTTACGTATCTCAACACTCTTTTTACTGCAATGAGATGACACTCTTGAGGTTTCTCCATGAATCGACTCAATAATATGACACTTTGACAAATATCGGATCTAGTATTGCAAAGATACCTCAAGGATTCAACGATTTATTTGTATAGTGTCAAACTTACAAATTCATCGTTCGTTTCCTTTTTCAACTTTGTTCCAGTTTCTAATGGAGTGACAGTTGCATTAAAGTTGCTCATATTGAACCTCTTCAGTATATCTTGGGCATATTCCATTTCATTCAAGAATACTCCTTCTTTAGTATTTTTGAATTCTATCCCTAAGAAATATGAAAGATTCCCTAAGTCGGACATTTCAAATTCATGCGTTAGTTTCGATTTTACTTCCACTATCTCAGCTTCGTCTGCTCCAATAGTTAGTAAATCATCTACATAGAGACATAAAATGATTTCACTATCACTGTTGACATCATTTACATATATTTCATGTTCAGAGACACACTTTGTGAAACCAGCTTCGATCAGGAAGCTATTTATTCTCTTATTCCAAGCTCTAGGAGCTTATTTCAAATCATAGAGAGTCTTCCTTAATCTATATACCTTCGACTCCTGCCCTTTGATGTTGAATCCTGGTGGTTGAGTAACATAGACCTCTTCTTTCAATGGTCCACTCAGAAATGCTGACTTTACATCCAACAGATGCATCTTCCATCCTCCATATGCTGATGTTGAAACAATAATTATAATTGTTTCTAGTATTACAATAGGTGCATATACTTCGTCAAAGTCGATACCAGGTTTTTGTAGAAAACCTCTCGCCACCAATCTTGCTTTATACTTTGCAATCTCACCATTTGGCCTTCTTTTCACCTTTTAAATCCACTTTACATCGATTGGTTTCTTATTGGTTCTTTCTACATGCTCCCAGGTCTTATTCTTCTCAATAGCTCTGAGTTCTTCTTTCATGGCTTCACACCAATTTGAATTAATCATGGCTTAATCCAAGTCAATTGTTTATGCATCAGCCATCATCATGGCTTCTTCAATTAAATCAACATTTGTATCAACTGCTTGATCTGGAAATATTTCATATCCAGCTAGCCTTGTCGACTCAATTCTTACTCTTATCGACCTTCTTTCATCTTGCATGGGTGATTCTTTATTTTGGCTGGTTGAAGCATCACCTTGTTCATTTTGACTCGTTAAAGCCTCATTTTGTTGATCTTCTTTGAACACAATTGTGACTGTGTCTGATTCCTGTCGAACTGAACCTTGACTCCAGTCCCACCCTTTTCTTTCGTCCACAAGAACATCTCGATTGATCACTAGTTTGTCTTTGTTTGGCGAATACAACTTGTATGCACCAGTCGAATGATAACCTATGAGCATCATGACTTAACTTCGATCATTCAACTTCTTTCTCAATTGTTCAGGTACATTCCTGACGCATATTGATCCAAAAACTCTAAGATGATTCACATTTGGCTTTGACCTTGTCCAAGCCTCATAAGGTGTTTCCCGACCATCTTCTTCGTTGGACATCTGTTAAGAATATATACTGCTGTCGAAGTTGCTTCAGTCTAAAATCTTTTAGACATATCTTTAGCTTTCAACATACTTCTCGTAATGTTCAGTATACTTCTATTATTTATCTCAATAATGTCATTATGTTGAGGTGTATAGGGTGCAATAACCTCATACTTTATACCTTCCTCATTGCAAAATCTAGCAAATTCAGCAAAAGTATATTCACCACCTCCATCAATTCTCAACTTCTTCAACTTGCATCCACTTTATTTCTCAGCATGCAACTTAAACTTCTTAAACTGTGTGAATACCTCACTCTTCCTTTCAATAAGGTAAATTCACATATGTCTGGTGGATTCATCAATAAAAGTAAAAAAAAATATTTGTTACCTCCATTTGACTTTACTTCAAAAGGTCTACACACATCATAATGAACCAGTTCCAGTTTTTGCTTTGATTTTATGGCCAAGTCATGTTTGAACGCTTTCCTAACATGTTTTGCTTTGCAGCATTCCTCGCATACCTGCTTTGGTTCCTTCGCATACGGTAACCTAAACACCATTATTTTCTGATTGAGCATGCATAAATTTCTAAAGTTTAGATGTCCATACATGTGGTGTCATAGTCAATTCTTGTCTTCTTCTGTAGTTGAAGCAACACATTTATGATCTGATGTGTTGAATTCAACTTTGAACGTTTTATTGTCTGTCAATGGTGCTTTCATTATTAGCCTCCCATCAGCCCTATATACCTTCATCTAATTCTTCTCCAATTTCATATTGAAACCTTTTACAAGTAATTGATCTATACTTATCAAGTTGCTTGTCATAGAAGGTACATACAGCACTTCAGTGATAGTGGCCTTTCGACCATCCTTCCTGACAATTGAAAAATCTCATTTACCACCTGATTTGATATGCCTGCCATCTGCAAACTTCATCACATTTTCGAATGACTCATCTAACTTGGTAAACTAGTTTTTATTGCCAGTCATGTGGTTGTTGCATCCTGAATCTAAATACCACATGTTGTTTTTCTCAGTGTTCGACTAAGTGTTGACCATTAACAACACATCATCAGAAATCACTATCTCTAGCTCGTGCACATTCAACTCTATCACTATCTTTCGTCTTTGTTGTTTTCTTTCTTCGACAGTCTTGAGCATAGTAACCAAAATCTTGACAATTGTAACACTGCACCTCTTTCGTGTCAACTTTTCTCCCAGAATACTTGTTGCCCACACCTTTCTTGATTGAATCAGTATTCTTGCTTGACTTCTCATCACTAACAAGATTCTTTCGCTGCTTCGACTTCTCTTTTCCATATTTCTTGTTGAATCTTGATTGCAATGCATGTTCAGCCACCTCTCTCTTTCTGAGTTTCTCTGCTTCAACCCCATCTCATGAGCCTCTAATGAAGCTTGAAGTTCTTCTAACTTCATCTCAGATAGAGTCTTGTCTTCTTTAATTGTCACTACTATGTAGTCAAAATCTACAGTCAGAGATCTCAACACTTTCTCTATTTTCTACAGATCCGCAACTGATTCACCACATGCTTTCACCTGGTTTGTTAGCGTCACAATTCTTGAGAAATATGCAGAGATTGAATCATCTTCTTTCATTTGAATCATCTCGTATTGCTTCTTCAATGTCTGCAACTTCATCTTCTTCAATTTCTCATCTCCACCATACAAGTTCTTTACTTGTCCCACGCTCCTTTTGCTATTTCTTCTTCAATTATCTTCTCAAATACATCAGAATCCACACACTGGTGAATCAAAAACAGTATTTTATCATCTTTCTTCCTTTGATCTTTGTCTGCAGCTTTCTGAACATCTATCACATTTACTTCCGATTCTGATACTCTATTCAAGATTTCAACATCTTGAAATCTGAAGATAACGTTCATCTGTGCAACCCACTATTGATAGTTTTCACCTTTGAAAATCGATAGATTCGCTGAAAATTGCGTTGACGTTGTTGTTCTGTTTGCCATTAGATTCTCTCTGAATTCAACCGACCTTTGTTATATCACTTTGTTGGAACAAAGGATTTTTCAAGAAAGATGTTGATAAAGGAAGAAGAAGAAGAAAAGAGAGAAAGAGAAACCGTTATGAAAATTGTTATTGATCTCAAATTATAAAACTCAATTGTGATTGCATTGTAAAATTATAAACTAGCAAGCCTTTTATATGGCATACAATGCCCATACACAATTTGACTATATACAAGTTTGACCCAATACTATATTTCGACATTTTGTAACACAAAACTATAAAGCTGTTGTATTCGACATTGTCGAATACAGCTAACAACCTATCAACACTAGCTATTCAACATACACATATGCTCTTCGACAGAACAAGAATTATATCTCCTACCAATAATCCTCCCCTAAACCCTAAAATAGTATAAATATATAGTATATTACAATAAATAGATCAAAATTTTAAATTTCCAATTTAGTAAAAATAACATCAAACTAATAAGGAAAATGAACCAAATGCAAATACTGGAACAAGCCAACAAAGAAAATGAACCGAATGCAAATACTAGAACTAAAAAATCTTCATCTAAAATTTCTTGCAAGTTTTCTACCCAAATCCACTACGAGTCCAGACGAATAAACTCAGTCATATTTCCGATTTCACTAGCATTCGAAATTACAGAAGAGTTTCGAAACTGATACCTACCCATACGACTTGCAATTTTAACTACCTTGCAAAAGAAAGTAATTCACTTTATATATTCCTGTTAGGCTTTGACCCAATTTTACATGAAATTATGTTTAACAGCCAATGCCAATAATACCATCCATCTCGAGCCTGTGCTGGGGAATCAATTGAACAATCAGCTATTCAGCTAAATCATACCAACTACAGTTCCCACCAAAACAAAATATATATGCACAAAAATGATATGGAATTGGAATGGATCGCGTCGATCCATCCATGTTGAAAGAGTGAGTATCATTGAAAGGGAAAAAGAAAAAAAAAACTTTACAAGATTATGTGTGCATATTGTATATAATAAGGGTATTTTTAGATCATTTTCTTTCCCTTCAGAAGATATAAGTGTCTTCTGTCATGTTATGAGAGAGAAAAACGCAAACTTATTGTGTATGAACCCACCACCATTACCTAGGTAGCATCCACCAATTTTATAAATAGGTGATTTGTTCTTTCTCTCTCTTAACCTGCAAGATGAGCTTATCCATTTCTCAGGTCTTAAGGATAATGAGAGCATCCAAAATGTATGTATTGTATATAGCTAGATTAAGCCTAGGGATTGGTGACTCCATTTACAACTCTGCTCTCATCCTGTTGTTTGGGTGGCATCTTCTCCAGACCCTAATCCTGTTGGGTCTTCACCAACCTCACTCTTGCAAAGAGGGCACAATGCATTTATCTTCAACCACTTATCAACACAGTCTTTGTGGAAAAGATGAGAACAAGGCAGTTCTCTAAGCTCGTCGTTATTTTCATACTTTGCAAGGCAGATGCAGCAAACCTGCAGATAACCACGAAAAGTGACGACATTTCAGTCAGCATTCAAGTCCAAGAAACAAACTAACATCCTGGTCACGAAGACAAAAGCAGCATTAAGCTTTAACATTTTCAACTTGGGATTCTTTGTGTAGCTTAAACAACAGTGTAATTCAAAACAGCACTACACAAAATCAAACTTCTATTGTCCGATAGCACAGAAGCTACATTTATAAAAGAATTTTTCAATATACTATGGCTAATTCAAGTTACCATGGCTATCCATTCCCGAAATGCTACAAAATACTGAATTCAAAACACGCGTACAAACTATAGACTACAATTCTACAGTTGTTCCTCCAAAACCCAAAGTCACAGAAGTTTGATTAGACATCAACCTTTTTATACAAAGAAAATCTTTATTCACATAACTGGATATGATGTGAGTCGACAAATAATGTCAGGAGGATGTTACAAAGTTCCATTATATATCCTGAATAAATAAAGATCAGATTGTACTTACCGCATCTTCACCAGAGATCACACGCTCTTTTGCAGTTCCTGCAGCCACAACTCCACCTTCTACATTACCAGAGTTTTCACCACTTCTTTTATGTTTCTTCATCTTGAACTTGTAAACTGGCAGCGCATTGATGGATTCAGAAGTTGCTCCTCTGTTTTGTGACAGATCCTCTCTAACACCAAGAATGGAAATTATACACGGGAGACAGCAGCATATGGTTGAACAGAGAATGAAAGGCATAGCATAACCGATACAGCTAAATGCAAGAAACACTATACATAACCTGCCAAGCAAAATGTAAAATATATAATTTGGAAACCCTGGAAAACTAGAAGATTAAATGTAAGTGTGTATGACAGGGTATACCTATACAAGTTAGGAGCTTCATCAACAGAAGATCGTCCCCCAAAGATCCATACGTTTCCAACAACAAACCACACAGCAAAAAAGCAATCTAAGGATATTTTGAAGTATTCCACAAGTATCTTCATTCTGTGTTACAGTTATGAACAAGACTTAGCACCACAATAAACAACTTACAAATTTAAATATTCAGAAGTTCAAAAAATGTCAAAATCCCATGAAGTGAATAACAGGGAAATTGGAGAGAGAGATGAACAAGGCATTAAGCATGACATAACTTAAGCAAAGGATTATTCAAATAAAAAATGAACTTTAACTTGGTAATCATTAGTTAAATGTTGACTAGAAATTACTATTACTGGAGCTGGTAAATACATATGACACCAAGTTTTAATCCCAGGAGCTATTGACCAGTTTACTCGCTCTGGTTTGGTGCTTTCAGCATGATATATAGCCAGAGCAAGGAAGGAGTATTCCTCATTAAACAGGAATGGCCACCCACTTGACCAATTCTTCATATTCCTACACTACTAAGATAGCTGCACCAGGCACTTCTATTTTGTCTATCACGGCTGAATGATAGCCCACTGTTTAGGTGGGATGTGGGAGGCTGATGACCGAATGGTGGCTAGAAGGCAATGTAGTCAACCACGAGGTTTAAAGTAGGAATGGAAGGCAGTGTTGTAAATAGAGGATCACGGAAAAAAAAGGATCGCCAAAAAACAGATATGAAAAATATTGGATAGCGTAACGGGCAAAAACGGAAGCCACAAAGCGGATAGAATACATAATTATATATAAAATAAAACATATTACAACAAATGAAAGCTACATAATCATATATTAAAAAATTGACTACATTAAACAAAAAATCTCAAGTTCAACAACTAAACGCTGTTGCAGAAAGCCAAAAACAGAAATTAAAACTGACTTAAAACTCAAAAGTCAAGTAGTTCAAACTTCAAAACAACTAATAATTGGTAGTTCTAAGTCTAACTAATGATATTTCCTCCAACATAATCATTATCCTCATTTTCAGAGAGTGGGTCATATCCTTCAACTTCTTCAGTTGAATCATCTGAATCAATGTCCTCAAATTCCGCTTTTGAATCATCTTAATCAATCCTCAAATTCCGCTTTTGATTCTACCTAGACAGGATCTTGCATTTTAACCACATGTTGTTTTCCCTTCCTAGATGAATAACCATCAGTTGACTTCTTTATTTTAGATGAAGTGCCAACATCACTAGGGTTAGGAATTACTTTTCTCTTTTTAGTTTGCTTACCTCGGTAGTGGCTTTAGCCAGGGCTGTTCAAAAGAACCGCCAAACCATATTGAACCGCCGAACCGAGTTGAAGTTAAAATAACCGAACCATTATAATGGTTAGTGAACCGAACTTATATTTTACTAATGGTTCTAAAATTGAATCGTTAAAGAATTGACCAATCCCAAAATAATCCTTAACCAAACCGTTGTTACTTAAGTTTTAAAATTTAATTTATTTTTAAATAAAAAAAGTTGATTTTTCGAAAATCAAAAAGTCGATTTTTTCGGGAAAAAAAACATTTTTTTAAATGGAAAAGTCGATTTTTTTTCGAAAAATAAATAAAAAAGTCAATTTTTTCAAAAATCAAAAAGTCAATTTTTCTGAAAATCAAAAAGTCAATTTTTTCGAAAGTCAAAAAACCGGTTATTCGAAAAACTAAAAAAAGGTCGATTTTTTCAAAAATCAAAAAGTCGATTTTTTTTAAGGAAAAAAAGTCAATTTTTCGAAAATCAAAAACTCGATTTTTTCGAAAATTAAAAAAGTCATTTTTTTTAAATCAAAATTTCAATTTTTTTGAAAATCAAAAAGTCGTTTTTTTCGAGAAAAAAAAAAGTTGCTCTTTTTGAAAATCAAAATGTCAATTTTTTCTAAAATCAAAAAGTCGATTTTTTCGAAGAAAAAAAAATCGATTTTTCCCAAAATAAGAAAGTCAATTTTTTTCGTATTCAAAAAGGTCAGTTTTTTTCGAAAATAAAAAACCCGATTTTTTCTAAAATCAAAAAGTCAATTTTTTTGAAAATTCAAAATTCGATTTTCTCCGAAAATACAAAAATCGACTTTTCCGAAAATCTACAAATAAATTTAAATAGGTTTTTTATTCAAAAATAATCAAAACCAAATATAACGGTTTAGTTCTTTTAACAAATGTTTCGGTTTATAATAAATTGGCTTCTAATGGCTTGGTACGGTTCGGAATTCCGAACCATTATACCAAACCAAAAATTTTGGTTCAGTTCAGTTCTAAAAAAATTGAGTTCGGTTTTCTAACAGAATTGTACCATGAACATGAACAGCCTAGCTTTAGGTACTATTACTTTTCTCTTCTTTGTTGTTGGCACTTCATTTAAAACAAAGAAGTCGAGTGGTGGTTCTTCATATAGGAAGGGAAAGCAGCATGTGGTTGAAATGCAAGATCATGTCAAAAGCGGAATTTGAGGACTAATTCAACTGAAGAAGTTGAAGGGTATGACCTACTATCTGAAAATGAGGATAATGATTATGTTGAAGAAAATCTTTTATCACTAGTTAGATTTAGAACTACTAATTATTACTTGTTATGAAGTTTAAATTGCTTAACCTTTAAGTTTTAAGTTATTTTTAATTTTTGTTTTGTGCTTCCTATTTTTAGCTTCCCGTAGCAATTTTAGTTGTTTGAACTTCAAATTTTTAGATTAATGTCGCTCAATTTTTTGTTTGTAGTTTTTATTTGTATGTAGCATGTTTTATTTTATATATAATTATTATTTTAACAGCTTTGCGGCTTCTGCTATTTGCCGACTACGCTATCCGATATTTATCATATTGGTTTTTTTGGTGATCCATTATTTTCCGCGATGGGCTATTAACAACACTGATACATAGTTGCTATACCGATTTATTAGAAAAGCACCACTATTTTGAGCATATTGAAGTCGATATGCTATACCGGCATACCAGCGTTATACCGGATATTTAACAACACTATTGGAAGGCCAGTGTAAGATCGTAACACACGGATCGTAGCATGACTCGTAAGATACTTTTACACTTCAAGTTGATGTGGTCATTAATTGATTTTGTCGGGGTGCTACCTAAAGAGCTTAGTTGAATTTTCCTTCTTAAAGAGCTTAGTTGAATTTTCCTTCTTAAAGAGCTTAGTTGAATTTTCCTTCCTAGACCTTCCATGTTAAGTAATTGTACAAGTAACCATCAGCTGCCTATCGCGATAGGGAGAGGATGTAGAGTAGTCTAAATTTAAAAACAAGTAGAGGGCAATATGGTATGCATATTACACTGATGAAGCACATATCATAGTATGAAGGAATAGATAAGTTGATTAGGAAAAGAAGGCACAAGCTTTACTCATTTCCAATTCATGGTAAAGAAGAAAGCGTAACCAAAGCTTCTAAGAAATTCAGGGAAGATGAATATGCGGCTCAAAAGTTGTGTGGAAGAGCAAAATAGTAAGTCCAAGATCAGAAGATCTTCCTAAAAGAATGCAAAACTCCACAAAAAAGAGAAAAAGAAATATATATACATCAACTAAACAAAGCTTACACGCTAGCCACAAACATCTGTAACCTATGTTTTCTTTCCGGGCAGGTAAAAAGGAGTTGCAATAGCATTAAAATTCTTGAACTACAACAAACCAATATATAATATTTCGAAAACAAATTGTGATTTTAGCACTAAAAAGAAATTTCATGTAACAGCAATAGCAGTTAATTCAGTACCTTCTATTCATCAATAGTGAAGTTTGATTGCTTCTGGCAGATGCAGCAGCTGCCTGACCATCATCTCCTCCATTACTTCTAGCAATCGAAAGAAATGTCCCAGAAGGATCACTAACCCGAGGAGATGTTTGACGTGTCTGAGCTGACTCCTGTTCTCGCATATGATTATGATTATAATACCGCCAATAAAGAAGAGGCAGCGTAGCAACACATCCAGAAGCATACCCCACTATCCACTGAAACAACGGGGTCCGCGGATGCTCATTCCTCGACAACGACAAAACAACAACAGACGCAACAATCTGGCTCACTAATAGAACCAATTCAATAGATATCCATAACCCAGAATGCACAGGACTCCTACTCCGACGAGCCTCCCCCCTTCTTACTAACGAAGAACTCCTACTATTCGATACACCCGAGGTAGAAACTGAAGGCTGACCAACAGGCAACCGCGCTCCACTTATTCTTTCTTCACGATGCGACTCGTCTACACGAGACGAGGAAGATGTAGAAGCTGAAGGCTCGACACTCCCAGCTATTTCTATAATATGATGACTTTCGTGAGGTCGCTCCATCAAGCTTCAATTGAACCTTTCATAATACAGTAAGGTCAAATATAAATATAACCCTAGTGTGATACCATAATTATAAGAAAAAATATATATAAAAGCATAAGGTAGCTTGCAAAACGAGAAAGGAACATTACCTAACCTAATTTCTTCACAATCATTTCACAGTGATGAAAATTGAAAACCTAATTACGTAATTTTTGAATTAACGGTTGATTAAGATAAATTCAGGGAAAAGAAGAGTACCTAAGAGAGAGATGCGAATCGATGAAACGACAGAGAAAAGGAGCGAAACGGCGTTGACTAGGGACGGTAAAGGGAGAGAAGAATTGGATAGATAAACGGCATCGAGAGGGAGAAGAAGAAGAGGGAAACGACAGAGGGAAGATGAAACGGCGTCGTGTGAGTGACGGAGGTAAAGAGGAAGGGTGTCCCAGTCACGAAGCTGTCAAGTGGCTTCCTTCGTGGTGTTACCTCTTTCAGTATCTTTTTTCTTTTTCTTTTTCTTTTTTTGGGATTTTTTTGTTTTTTTTGTTTTGATGATGAATGAATATTGTTATTAGTGAGATTTGTCTTTTGAGTCTTGTTTTCTTGTATTTTTAAAAACACGGAAAGGTGGTCAAGTGGTTCACTTCTTTGCAATTGTATTTATCTTTGCTAAAAATAGTTATAAATAGAAGAAGAATGATAATGAATCAATTAATTTAATTAAATTTATAGTGTTTAATATAATTAAAGGTTGAATTATTTTATAAATGATATAAAAATATATATAATTTATTATGATATAAAAATATATAACTGTAGTTGTGTAATTTGGCAAAGATCTTGTGATAGATCTAACTAGGATAATAATCAAATTTTAAGTTTATAAAGAAAGATAACATAAAACAATTTGAATATTTTCATTGAGCATATTACAATTTAAATAGTAGGGTTATCTATTAGAGTCTATGCCACTTTTAGAAAGGCAACATAAAAATATAAATTTAGAGATAATTACTAATATATCATTTTAATATTGAATACTATCCTTCAACCACTTAGATGTTCTTATATTTTGTCTGGGCTTTTGCATTGGCATCCTAACAATATTTCTGGGCCAAAAGAGACCTTGTTCTCAAGATCTAAAGTTTGTGTGTCACGTGGTATTGTGAGAGTGATTGCAGACTCTAAGGGAAATTGGAGTTGTCTTTTGAATTTTCGAAAGAGTGAATAATAGGTACAGGGAGGGAAAATTGGTTTGGATGGGAATCCAATGAAGAGAAATTAATGTTTAATGGTTGTGAAGAGTTGAGGTTAACGGGAAAGAGAAAAACAGAGTTTGGGGAAGATAAACACATAGGAACTGTGTCAAGAGTGGGGCTCAGGTCTGAGGAGAGAGAAGGGTACAAAAATGTAATTGGTGGAGAAGAGTGTTAAGCGGTAAAGCGGTAAAGCGGTAAGTAAAAAGTAAAGTATTAATTTTACCGGGTGATATTTAGGTTATATTATATCGTGTTCATAGAGATTGGTTATCAATTCGTCATTCGACAAATCATTTGTTAATGAGTTTGGAGAAAAATGGGTTGTTTGTAAAGAAAGGGTAAAAATTATTGATAAGAAAATAAATCCATTCTTCTAAGAAGAAACTTATCAAGCATACATATAATTCACTCCTCACAAACTTAAACCTATCGGCCGGTTATACTCAACCTACAATACTCGTCAATGTCATCACATGTCAAACGCAACACCCATTGTATCACCTTGATAGTGATCTCTTAACCACCTCAATAACACAGAAGTCAATTGTGCCACTCGTGTTAACGATCTCTCAGCCAATACAACCAACACAGAGGCATTAATCATAGACACCCTAAGTGAATAATAGCACTAAATCTATCTATAGAATCTAGACACTATTAGACAATCATCCAAGATAAGAATTCAAGCAGTATATGTCTATAACAACTCAAATCTCTAGCACAGAGCAAAAATCAAGGATAACAATCCACAAAAAGTTGTAAAGCAAATTAAATATAACGCCATGGGCGACAAATATACATGAGATCAAAGTAAATATACATATAAAACTCAACTAAAAGAGAATACACAAAAGAAAAAGAGAAATAAACCATAAATCTCCCGGTTTATCAGTGTCGATCGAAGAGCAATCCACCTGGATCATCCTATGCAAGCTCTGTAGTTGTTATCTAAGTCAATCCACTACAAAAATGAGGTTTATGGAATTGGGAGAACAAAAACCACCCCCAAAACCATAACATAACAAAATGAAATGAAAAAGAAATATAAAGAAAATTTGTTTTGCGATAGTCGTCCGGCGGCATAAACATGTTGTCTGGCGATGCTACCTAAACTCTTGGCCCAGACTACGCCATGTAGGCAACTAGCCATAAATATCTTCCATCACCCGACGACAGAAAGCTTCGCCTGGCGACACCTTTATTCCTCGTCTGGCGACACAGTAGTAAAGCAAGGCAGACCCAAATGGAAAATTGGTTCATTCTCTATCCACTGTCGCCATGTGATGCAAACGCGATGGCCCTCGCCCGGCCATGCACATCAGCTTAGCAACTTTTGTTGCATTCTCTGCACAACTTCCATTGGCTCTCTCTTCTTGGCCTTATTTATTTATTGATCCAAAAATACATCTTGGAGCTTTTATTCCTCTTGCTCCAACAATGCTTAAATACCTATAAAATGAATACAAAACTATCAAACAGTATACTATGTACATGAAAACATAAATATATACAAACTAAATAAATTTACACAAAAGTCAGGTTTATTCAATGATTATTAACAACAAAGAGTAGATAAATACAACAAAAAGTATATATAAAAATAGCTACATTTTTCACTTATCAAACTCTCATTAACTTAAACTTGTTTGTCCTCAAACAATAAACAAACAAGAAACAAACAAATCGAAGAAACAAAAATGATCAACCAAAGAATCACGAATCCACAAGTTTTGAAAACAGAGAACAAATGCAATGGTTCAAATGAAAAACAATACACACAAAGTAAACATTTACCACAAAGCTATTACTATAACATAAACATGAAACAAATTCTAAATACAAAAATCATACCAAACATTCTAAAACAACACTAGTTCACGACTGAATCACACCTAGCAAAATCAATCATCGGTAGATGACAAACACATAAAAAGTGAGGTGTTTTCACTCATCCACAATCTTGCAAACAATAGACTAAATTATGCAATCATCCAAAAACTCATATTTAAAATACAAAGGCAAGAATCACAAGGGCTTTTCAAGGTTGTAATGTAGCTTGGTTAACAAGAAAGAGATAAGTCTTAAAGCTAATTGAAACAAAAACTTGTCTTAACATAAGGGAGTGATCAACTCACAAAGACTCAAGCAACACAATTTAAATAAAACTTATTCTTCATTCTAAATTTCTCAAACCAATCAAAATACTTATTCACACAATTATTCAAACTTTTTTATTTTTGTTTTCAAAACTTTTTTCTCTTTTTTCTTTCTTTTTCTTATCACTTCTTTTTCACTTTTTTTTCTTTTTCTCTTTTTTTTTTCTTTTTTCTTTTTCACAACCTCATAGTAATACACGCAAAAGCGCATAAACATTCTTCTCCCCAACTAGAATTCAATCATCATCATAATATGAATACTCCCTACTTTCTAAGGCAAGGAAAAAATTCAAACTATAAATCATACTTAAGGGTTCAAGAAAACAAAGAATTAATATCCATACAAAAATGAGAACCAAACTCATAGACAAGCATTTAGCAAAAACAACATGGACATCGACAAAAAGGCTCAAAAGGGGATATTAATGATCGCGCACTCACAAGATGAATTGACTATTTGACCAGGTAGTTATGCTCAAAAGGAAACAAAATACCTTGATCCCTTTCATGCATTCATACAATCAACACAAATAAAATATTAAGCATAATAAAATCCATTTAAAATAAGAATTGTGGCCTCTAGCATATGTGAACAGTGGAAAGCTACCTCACAAAAAGGGTAAGAACTAAAGTGATTCACAAATGAACAAGTGTGATACGGTGGGAGAACTGACTTGGGTGTTTTGCGTTTGTTTTCGCAAATGTTGCGGTTTAGCAAGAGTCGCCACCGACTTTTCTTTTATCCAAAAGGAAAGGTGAAAAAGCACAGGAAAGACCTTTAGAGATGTTTTCTTGAGTTCGGGGGGTGGATTATGAAAAGGGAAGGTATTAGCACCCTTTTCATCCATGGTTTTCCATGGGCTCTTAGTTATTTTCCAGATCAACTTGCTTTTGTTTGAATGTGCTTTGTGGTGTGGGCTTTGAAAGTGTTTTGAAAATATCTTTGTAATGGTTCTCGTTTCTATAAGAACGTATACAAAGTTTTATTTCGAAAGATAGTCCAAAGATGAGTTTGTGGATTGTGTTTTGGAAAGTGATTTTCGAAAAGATATTTTGCAATGGTTCTCGTTTCTATAAGAACGTATACAAAATGTTTTATCTTTTTGAAAATGTTTTTGAAATGGAAGTGTTAGTGTGTAAAATGTTTTTTTGTTGTGAGCAAGCGAGTAACTAGGAGCGAATCTACCTACTCGAAAGGTCTTAATCGTTCTTTTCCTCCTCCTTTAGATGTGGCTATCTTACCATTGTTTTGGTAAGAAGCCACATCGTTGGATGTGAAGGAACGGGTGTGGGATGTTATATAGTCATAGAAAGCAACCTATGTGCCGTTTTAGCAATGTCGTTTTAGGGACTAGATCGTTTTACCGGAGGTAAAATTGAGGGTCATCGAGGGACTACGATCTTTTTTTATCGAAGGGTCTTTGCTAAAACGTCCCATATTCGAGGGACATGACTATTTTCCGAAAGGCAACAAAATGAGATTACCCTAGAGATGCTAGTGTGCAAGTGTGTTAGTTTGCATGCATTTTGTCTTGTATTTGAAAGTCATCTACTTGTTGATTTTATCTCGCCATACATCCTATTTACTAGCAATATATGAAAAGCAAGTACAATGCAGAAAATAAAATCTAAGCTATTACATCACTTTAGGGGGATGGGGGTACAAATTAACAATGTGGATGAAGTGGAAGTTGAAATATTACAACCATATCGAATAATAATGAAAACAATGTAAAAATAGTGCAGAACAAAGGAAAAAATGCATTCTGAACTGCTATATGTCGACCCATGCTGCTATGCATCGACACATAGCTTTTCCTTGCTCCTGTAAAACAAATCTGCTCAGTATGAGTCGACATATAATGGGATGTGTCGACTCATACACCTTCTTGCATCAACGCGAAACACGTATGTGTCGACTCGTAGTCTTTTCCCACTTCTGTTTTGTAACCTGAAATCAATATGGGTCGATGCATGGGGGTTATGTGTCGACTCATATCCTGTTTTTTCACTAGGATGAGTCGATACATGAGGATATGTATCGATACATACTGTACTTTCCTGCTTTAAACATTGTTTTTCTTGTCTGTACAGGTTAGCTTACAACATATGATGAATGAACATAAATAACAAATGATTGAATAAGCCTAAACCATAAGCAAACGACTAGTTCAAAAGGATAATAAAATGCTACATCATATCTTCAAAAAACAACAAATTGTCAATG